ACAAAAATAGTATATATATATATATATATATATATATAAAAGTGGAATTGAGACATTGGAATCATGATTGATTTTTATAATAAAAATATTAAAGTCATACGTAATTAACATTATTTTCGATTGATTAATCGTGTAAAAGATTTTACAAAACAATACATAAGAATTAGACTTAAAAAATTAATGATCAAATAAAGAAATTGATACCTGAAAGTAAATGCTTTAAGATATTAGAACCCTCTCCATTCCGATAATTCATTTTTTCACCTTTTGAAATTCTTAAATGAGAGTCTCGTCATTTTAATGACTCATCTATTTTTTTATAATTTAAACAATTCACTTTCCCAACTTATTAAGTCTAGCTTTTTTACTACTTAAGTCTTACAAATAACTCTAGTCTATTTTTCTTTATATTTTATATTATTTTATAAAAATACACACATTATTATGAAAAATAGTTATTGAATTTTACAAAGTCAGTTAATAAGATGAAAATTATTCTTCATTTATATATTATAATTTGGTCGTATTACTAGATAGTATAAGAACATCAATATACATGATGATATTAATTAAATTAGTGAAATGCACGTTCAAATTTTTTTAAAATTATACACACACATACACACACAAAAAAAAAAATATATATATATATATATATATTAAAAAAATTACATATATATATATGAAGAGGGGTCCACTTATTCCAAGAGTAAGTCTACCTAAACTTACTTTATTTAATAACTCATTTTGCATCAAATTTCAATGTTTCAACCAATTAAAAATTCTTGATACATAGATCAAGTTTGCAAATTTTTAAAAATTTGAAAATTACTTAATAGTATGTTTCATTAATTCAAAATAACGAATAAAATTATTTTATAATTATTTGTTAATTTGAATTAATCAAATGAAATATTAAATAATTTTTAATTTTTATTAAAATTTTACAAACTTAATCTATACATTAAAAACTTTTAATTCAAGAGTTATTGAATAAAATAAATATGTGCGCGCGTGCCTATCTTAAGCACTAATATAATGCTAATTAATATGTGAAAGCAAAGTAAGTGGCAAGGATGGAGGTGCTCTAATAGAACTTGTAGTGGCATTAGCTGTATATATTCTTGAAGCACGTCTATTTTTGTGATTGATTCAACGATAATTTTAACAAATAGCAAATCAGAAAAATGCAAACAATTGTAAAAATGAACAATACTTTGAACAGACATATGCAATATATATTATTTCTATGGCTGGCAGTGTTCTCACGTCTGATTCACTAGGTCAATTTCATATAAACAATCATTGGACACATCCTCTTTTTCTACATTAATTTGATGACTTGGTCAGTTTGAACTCATATAATACTAATTTCATATGAACAATAATATATTTTATATATGTGTAAACTGATCTAATCAAATATAAAGGAAAAAAAATGCACAACTATATAATTAGAACAAACATGCCCTAGTGCTCTCACGTTTGCTACTTAATTGGTCAATTTCATATATATGAACAAAACAACCATCAGACATATTCTCTCTTTATATTTAACTTAGATTAATTACACATATAATACTAATTACATATTTGTTGATCCACACTAATTTCATATACACAAAGAAAGGGGTTAAATATGTGACATTTATTTTCCTGAGATCTTAATCATTAAAGTTATTTAATTTTTCCATAAAAACTACTCCTTCTCATAATAAATGTCAAATTAGAGAAAAAAAATCCAAAATAAGTATCATGTTAATTAGTTTTTAAATGCAATATTAATTATCCATTTTTATTATATCTCTAATAATATTATGTAAAAAGTAATTTTTATGTTAATTACATCATTTCTAATAAAAAAGATTAATCACAAAATTAATTTTGTAAAACTGTTATTCTCTTTTTATGTATTTGTTAATTTTTCTTAATATATACAAAATAATTTAAAACCGCACTTGTTATAAGATCAAAGAAGTTATAAATTCATGTTTAGGAAATTATGAATATAATAAGATTAATTCACACCGCCGTCTCAGGTTAAATTTTACAGGAGAATGATAGTGATTGTTACATGAGAGGTTAGAGAGATAAATTTTGATAAAATTATAATGATAAAATTAGAATTTAAATTTAAGATTTGTGTATATTATTATTATTTTGATAATAGAATGTTAAAATTATTTTTTAAAAAAAGTTATATTATCACTTAAAAATATTATAATTGTTTTTAAAAAAAAACTTGCATTATTATATGCCATAATTTTGACTTTCATAATAAAATAGAATAATTAATATTTATTATCTCACTCTTACCTTAAAAACAATTATCTATATATGACTTCAAAACATGTGTGTATGACCATGTCAGATTAAAAAAATAGTACTTTATATTTACAAGATTAAACGAAAATACAGAATCATCTATTAAGTGGTTGTGAATAGGAACTATAAATCGGGTTAACCTAAAAATTGATGAGTTAAATTAGGTATCTTAATCCGTTTGATTTGTCGTATTTAACTTGAAAATTTGTCTGGTTAATTGGTAGATTGGAGTGGGTTGATCATCGTCTATCTTCTTTTTTTTTTTAATTTTTATTTTTAATATTAAGTTTATAAAATAAGTCAAATGAAATTTATTATGTGAATATTCTTTTATTTGTTATGTAATAAATATGTTATATATTTGATTTATTTTTATTATATGTAATTTAGTATTTTTTGTATAGTAAATTTGTTGAAAGAGTTATTATTATTATTACTATTACTATTATTATAATAATAATAATAATTATTATTATGTAGCAAATTTGATATTTGTTATGTAGCAAATCAAATTAAATGTGTTGTAATTTAAGGTTTATTTCATTATTTAAGTACACAAATTTATGCTAATTTATGTAGATCCTTATTGAGAAGAAAAAAAAAAAGGTATGTTAGAAGAGGTACTCTTAATAAATATACAAAAAAATTTTTCTTTTTCTCTTTCTTTTTTCTTTTTTCTTATATTTTTGGTGAATTAGACTATTGGCCCGCCAACCCATCCTTAAGCAAGGCGGGTCAAGATGTCCAGTCCGGCCTGGCCAATTTTTGACAAGTTGATAGCAAGGCGGGTCTAAATGGGTCAAGCTACCCATATTATCATCTCTAATTGATGCAATAGACAAAATGAAGATGATTGTAAGATAAAATGAATTTTGATAATATGCTAAATAACACAATTTTGCTAAAGCATTTCATAATATGGTATTTATAACTTTACTAAAGCCAAAAAATAGGGAGATGAAAATAAATGTGTAACTGGATTACAAAATCATTTTTGTCACTACTAACTATCCCTAAATGAGAATATTATATCACTATAAGAAAACTTATAATTATCTACGAACCGAATTACTAGGTAAAAAGTCCAAAATCCTTAAGTAACGCAAATTTATCAACAGATTATCTACAATAAAATATTTGTAAGTAATCAGCTCATAGGTAAAATTACCTACAAATATTTCTGTGTCGATAATTATTGATGTCCATTTCTATAGCCAAGTTAGTGGATAATTATATACAAACTTATCTGTAGGAAATTACATACGAACGCATCCATGGAAAGTTATCTATGGGTTTATCCATGAGAAACTTACCTGTAGAGGCATTTGTGAAAAGTTTCCTATAGATGTATCTGTGCCAAGTTACCTATAATTATTTTGTATAAAATTTGTGGATAACTTCTTTTTATCTCATTTTGGGATCATAATATGTAACATATATTGCAAAACAACTTGATAATAATATTATATATTTAATTGTGTATAAAAATCCAAAATCATAAATTTAAAAACAATAG